CTTCCTTCCTTCCTTCCTTCCTTCCTTCCTTCCTTCCTTCCTTCCTTCCTTCCTTCCTTCCTTCCTTCGTCAGAGAAGGGTGTGTGTGTGTGTGTGTGTGTGTGTGATCAAACCCAGGGCTGTGTGAATGCTAAACAGGCCTACTCTCCTCCTGAGTCCCAGCCCCAGCCTCCCATAGATACTGTCCTGACTTCCCCCTTTTTTTGTGGATGAAGGCCTATTGGTAGTATTCCTGGAGTCTACATCCTCTCTGTAAGGCTCATCTCTTCCTGTCAGTCATCCACATGATCCACAGTCATGTGTTATCAACCTAATACAAGCCACAGTCCAGGATGGCACCTTGAGCTCCAGTTTCTGGACAGTTTCCTCCTCTGCCATGTGCTTCTCTTAGCCTGTCCGGTCTAACTGAAGCAGTGGTCTGGCCTGTCATCCAGCTCACCACGGCCTCTCCTTTACATCAGTGCTTCACTCATTGTGGCTCCAGGTACAAATCTGACCTGCCACGGGTTTGTGAGTAGAACTGCACTGGAATGCAGCCTCAGTCGGGTGAACCTACCGCCTACGGCTGGTTTGGTGACTCTTTGACCCTTGTGGAAGAAGTGTGTTGTCCTAGTTTGCTTTCCTGTTGCTGTGATAAACACCGTGACCAAAAGCTGCTTGGGAGGAAGGGGTATTTGGCTTTCGGGTTACAGTCCCTCCCTCACCAGGGGAAGCCAAGGGGGAGGGGTGCTGTGTGCTAGCTTGCTCAGCTAGCTTTTTTAGGCAGCCAGAGACCTCTTGCTCAGGGATGGTACCACCCACAGTGGGCTGGGCCCTCCTATATCATCAGTTCATTAACAATCAAGAAAATGCCCCACAGACGTGCCTGCCAGGCCAATCTGATGGAAGTAGGTCCTTAATTGAATTTCTCTCTTCTCAGATATGTCTAGATTTGTATCATGTTGACAAAAAATAACCAACGCACTGTCAGTGATAATCTAGGGCTGGCTGTCTTTTTAATAAGATCCTGAACTTCAGAAGATTTTTCCAGCATCAGATTAATCATATCTACTAAGTCCCCAACTTGCCTGCTCCAGAGGGCATCAGGAAGTGATTTCTAAAACAAGTTCTATATAGTACAGTGTTGTCAAAAAGAAGTGTGATGGCCTCACTGGCCGGCCGTCCTAGCTGAAGCTGAATTGGTTATGTCTAGGTTCAGCGAGAGGCCTTGTCTCAAAAAACAATGTGGAGGAGAGTAAGATTGGGGAAGAAACCAGATATTGACCTCTGCCTCTGGATGCATACATGTGTACATACAAAAATATGTATGGATACACAGAGGTGTGGAAAGTGCTTTGGAGAAACTAAAACAAATAATTGAATTACATAGGTACTAGGTATTTATAACACACTTGGTTAGAAAACTTTGAATTCCTGCTTTGTCCTTTACCATTACATTTAGGCTAAATACTAACTGGCATTTTCTGTATGAAAATATAGTAAAGACACTCACTCTTGGGAAAATAGAACACTATCTAGTATGGTATAACAGCATTTAGGTAATTAATATCTCAAACTAGCTGTCGATAAAATAACAACAGTTCCATTTGTATTGTCACCCTCAAAGAAGTTCTGTGTAAGCCAGGTGTGGCGGTACATTATTGCCAACACTTGGTAGGCAGAGAGGCAGTCTGAGCTCTGTGAGGTTGAGGCCAGCCTGGTCTACATAGTGAATCTAGACTAGCCAGGGCTACATAGAGAGAATCTGTCTCAAAAAAAAAAAAAGACATCAATCACATGATTCAAGAATACAAAATAATACAAGAAAATGTTCAGGGCCTCAGTAAGGTTCAAATTTTTTGCCATATTACATCTTGGTGACTTAATTTTATTCCTGTTTCCTATCCTATGCTGGTTATATTTCAAATTTATTTCAGTTGTGCTTCTTGATGGCACACACATAGTTTGTTGGCAGTGTGGAGTTTGCTATCTTATTGTAGAAATCTTCCTGCAAAATGTTGCTCACGCCGGGCGGTGGTGGCGCACGCCTTTAATCCCAGCACTCGGGAGGCAGAGCCAGGCGGATCGCTGTGAGTTCAAAGCCAGCCTGGTCTACATAGGAACTCCAGGACAGCCAGAGTTACAAGGTAAGACCCTGTCTCAAAAAAAAAAAAAAAAAAAAAAAATGTTGCTCATACAAGATTAAGTGCTTTTCTTTTCCCCTTACATTTTTGGTTGCTGGCAATGTTCATCTTCCCAGGCATTGGAATGGATACTTGCGTCATTCCTTTGAGGCATGGTGGTCTTTCCTTGGTTCAAACCACAGATTACATTTATCCTATCGTCGACGACCCTTACATGATGGTAAGTTTGGCTTTGTGTATTTTTGTAATTGAGACTAAAGCATTTGGTTTTGGTTTTGGATGGTTTTGTATGTGCCTTTGGGTTTGGGTTTTGTTTCTTTGTTTTGTTTTTCTGCTTTTGCTGTACCCCAGTTATATATCTCCCCCGACTCCTGCAGTCACGGCAGGCAGACGTGTCTCCTCACACTTGACACTGCACGAATCAGGTAGAACGGGCATCTCTGCTGCTTTTATACCTGAAGGTGCCATTGTTTTGAGAGATTGCTGGTGATTGGTGGTGTTCTCTGTGTTCTTTCCTTGTACCTGTCTCTCTTTGTATTTGCAGTTACTGGTCTTTTGTTTCTGGCTGGAGACGTTGCTATACTCTGTAATAACACTGATTCTAAATGTTTCCTCCTACAAATAAGGGAGCTTTCAAATCTCACCACAATTGGGGACACACACACACACACACACACACACACACACACACACACACACACA